CAACAAATATTGTGTATTCTTAACTGTTGTGATGATCAACATTGCCGATGTGACTATTGCAGACACACACGTTGCCATATCCATGCTGAAATGATATAATGTGCAGCCTTGATTAACACTTTCAGACTTTCAAATAATATAATTTCAGAAAACTTATTTTTTTTGTGCAAATTGTAAGTCGTAACATCATATTAGCAGCCAATGACTAACAAAGTTCAATATTTTTCATAGTAAAATAAATACTGTTAATGTTGTTTTGAAGACATACTTGCATGTGATTTCAAGTTGAATAATATTTAAAGTACTATAGTAAATAATATAGGAGGCATGTCACAAGTTGTCACTGAATGAATGTGTGAACATAAAACCAACTTTACCTTAATAACAATATTTAGTGTTTTGTATGTTCAAATGTGTGCAGTTAAAACCAACAACAACCCCCCAAAGCGATTAGCATTTTTAAAATCGTATTGTTTAAAATAGATAAAACCATCTAAGATATTCAGTGTAACAGTTCTTATTTTTAAAATAGATTTTACTGTTTTTAGTACATTAACTTATTGCATTGGCGGAAATGCTGTTAAGATTATTATGATTTACCATTTATTTTTATTATTTTTAATATTGTTTTACACAACCACAGTATAATTTTTTTTTTCAAACACAAATACATATTATAATAATCAGTAAAACATCTTCATATCTGTGTAAACTCAAAAACATTGGCGGACTTATTGATTTAGGGGCCTTAAGCAATTCCAGGTATGGGGCCTACCATTGAAACTCAAAACATTCTTTCTCTATAGATTTTGTGGCAGTACGGAAGGAATGTTCCATTTTTCATAGGGGGCCCCCCAATTTTGAAAAGAAGTAATAACATTAAGATCTTAATAGTTAAAGACAGATTTCACCAGATATGATAGAAAATTTAGAAGAGCTACATGCTTAGTATAAGCTTCTTGGCATTCATCGGGACCCCATAATTCCCCTGGGCCCTAAGCAGCTGCTTATCTCGGTTATTGGTTAAGTCCATCCCTGCTCAAAAATAACAATTGATTTGAACCAGTTCTAAATGTGTATTCATGATTTAAGTTCAAGCATAACGACCCTTGGCTATTGTTTACATTCCTTCAGGATCTTTAATGACATTTTTATTGCATGTGATTTGTGTGTGTATATTAAACCAACAGATTCCACCAGAGCTCTTTATGAGAAGAAGCTGAGAGAAGCCATTGCTAAAAGCAAAAAGCCTCAACCTCAATCTGACAGGACATATTACAGGGAGGAAGGTAAAGCTTACGTAACAATCAACACACAACACATAAATAATAATGTCTGTGATTTTAACAGCTCACACCTTTACATTACAGAGGATGTCACTTACATTCATCATCGCAGACCTGTGAGTATAAACGGTTACAGCATTCAATAAAACTAGTTTCAAACCTGTTGCTAATCTTACTAATGTTAAATGTACATTCATTCAGCAACAATACGGTGATGTAAGTGACAGGTAAGTTCTTCTAAAATGCACAACAATTGAAACATTTTAGGATCAAACCGTTAAATAATACTTATATTTTCGGTTTATTAGAACTTGGACAGATTATAGAGCGATGGACTACGTAGATGAGTAAGATGGCTTTTAATTATACTTAAGATCTTTGAATATTAGAGGAAACGTATTGATACATTAATGCATTCGAGTTTCTTTTTTGTTTGTTTTTTTGAAGGCCTGTCGTATATCGGACTCAATCGTCTTACCGTAATATTTCAAGAAGCACACCTGCGGAGCCTCAAACGCAGAAAACACCAGAAAATAGTTCAACGCGTTTGGTCCCAATTTGGCTTCAGATATTAGTGTTTGTGATTGTGTCTGCTCTCCTGTACTTGGTTTTTATAAATATGGAACCAGCAGGTCCTGTCAAAAGACTGACATAGGGTTTCCTTTAGTGATCTTATCAAACCGAACTTTCATTTTTATTTTAAACAAGCATTGATTCAATACACTGGGTGTGATATGCGACATCTTGCAATGCGTTTTTAACTTGCCGTGTGTGTGTTTTATCAAAATAATAACCCATTGTTAATCTATCGCAAATATGGAGGAAGTGGGTGTTTCAGGATGCACCTGTTGGGTTATTTTCAGGATATTACAGTGTTGAGGTATATTTAACTGTTCTGTAATTTTTTGTAATTTCTCAGTCTCATGTGACAGTAACTGAAAAACATTTTGTAGGATTTTCATAAACCCATTTCATTGGTTACAGTCACTGGATTTGGTCTTCATTGTTTTACAATGGTCAGTAAGCTGTTTTTTCATTGGAAATATCAGACGTATTGTAGCTCATGCATTTGAAATCTTGGAGCCAAATTATATGAATGTAATAACTGCTTCTTTGTTGTGTTCTGTGATTATTGTTTGAGGTGTTCTGGAGTTTTCTTTCAATAGAAACTATTTTTTTATACAAGTAAAAAAAAACAATATTTTAAACTTGGACTGCAATGACGTTGTCAATTCTTCATACTGCACCTTTAAAAATATATATTACAACTGAAAAGTATCATTTTAAAATAAAAAGTGTTCATGCATTTCATTTTGATTGACGCACATTTACAGTTGAAGTCAGAATTATTAGCCCTCTTTAAATTTTTTTCTTCTTTTAAAATATTTTCCAAATGATGTTTAACAGAGCAGGGAAATTTTCACAGTCTGATAATATTTTTTTCTTCTGGAGAAAGCCTTATTTGTTTTATTTCGGCTAGAATAAAAGCAGTTTTTAATTTTTTTAAATATTATTTTAGCGTCAAAATTATTAGCCCCTTTAAGCTAATTTTTTCGATAGTCTACAGAACAAACCTTTATTATACAATAACTTGCCTAATTATCTTAACCTGCTTAGTTCACCTAATTAACCTAGTTAAGCCTTTAAATGTCACCTTAAGCTGTATAGAAGTGTCTTAAAAATATCTAGTCAAATATTATTTACTGTCATCATGTGAAAGATGAAATAAATCAGTAATTCGAAATGAGTTATTAAAACGGTCATGTTTAGAAATGTGTTGGAAAAAATCTTTCCGCTAAACAGAAATTGGGGAAAAAAATAAACAGGGGGGCTAATAATTCTGACTTAAACTGTAGTCTTTTTAGCATTGAAAATAACCAAGCAGATATATCTGTTGTGATTATTAAAGGCTAGTTCACACAGAAATGGAAAAGTACTGCTCGTTTGCTCATCCTCAAGTGGTTTCCAACCTTTAGGATTTTTTTTCTTCTTTTGTTGAACAAAATATTTTTTTAATCATGTTGCAAACCTGCAATCTTTGACATCCATAGTTAAAAAAAAAAGACTATGGAAGTCAGTGGTTACCGGTTTCCAACATTCTTTAAAGTATCTTTTGTGTCCAACAGAGGAAACAAACTCAGACAGGCTTTAGGACATGTGAAGGATGAGTAAATGATAAGAGCATTATCAGTTTTGGGTGAACTGTATCTTTAAAACATTGGCCAATCAGAGATGTTTGGGTTTAGTCACTGCTGAAAACGCTGGAGTTTTGTTGAATGTGTCAATAGTATCTGGATGCAGCCTTGATGATGCATGCTGAGACTGCATATCTCAGTGATGCAATATCAGACACAATGCACTCACTGGAGCTAGTGACGTCACTGTGAGGGGTAGGTTAGGGGTGGGGATGCAGCTCAGATTGCACTGAACCACACAGCAAAAAAAGCTTGTCTTAAGAGTGTTTGTCGTGTTTCTAGTCCAAATATCTAAAACATATTAAATGTTTAGAAGCATTTTTTAGACAAGCACAAACTCTTGTCTTGTTTTATGAAATAATATGCCAAAATTAAGTGAGTTTTAGCAAAATAATATGCCAATGGGGTAGGAAAAAGTATCTTGTTTTTGGTTTTGACAAGATTATTTTTCTTACCCCTTTGTTTTAAGGAAAAACTCACTTAATTATGGCATATTATTTCTTAAAATCAGACAATAATTTGTGCTTGTCTAGAAAATGCTTCTTGGTTTAGTAATTTTTTTGATATTTGGACTAAAAACAAGAGAGAAAATTAAGAAAAGGATTTTTTGCAGTGCAGGTCTGCATCTATACCCTTCTCAAATGTGAGCACTTTTGTAAACCATTATCATAAACAACAAACTGCAGATGTGATTCATTTTGCGGCTTCAGTGAAAGCTGTTGTGAAAGTAAATGCAGAGTAGAATAAATGTTTTGTCTTGACAACAAATGCTCCTTCTCGACATGCCAACAAGATGAACTGTTTTTGAGCGTCAAAGTTGTTTGAGAAGTTGTTAAGGAATTTTCATATTAGTTCAAGTTCCATTCTTTCTTATAAGAAACAACAATTTTGCAGACCTTCATTTATAAACAATAACATAACCCTTCAAATCCTTTATAAACATTTGTAGAACATTTTACAGGACTTTAATAATAACGGTTTTATGACGTTTAACTCTTGGAATATTTCATTCTGTTTGGTTATTCACAAAATTTCAATGTATTTTTTTAGTTTGTTCAGATTTTACCTGTTCAGGTATAGGCCCACATGAATCTGCGCACACAGAATTCCGCAGATTTCTAGCCCATCGTTAGTTATGTGTAAATGTGTGTAAATCTATATTTACTCTGTTTTTATATTAATTACAGTAATATTATTGACTGATATAAAAATTTCCTCTGATTTATGTACAATACAGTTTGTTAAGTAATATTTTCTGTCTTTTAGTATATGAAAGACTTGCTTGTTTATCAAATAAAGTGAATCTAGATTTGCATTTTAAACATTAAAGTTAAAAAGATATTATTTTTTTATTTCACATATTAAGGTTTAAGTTATGATACTCCCAAAATCATTCTGCAGATTTTTACCAAAATTCTAAACAGAAAAAGCAAAAGATGTCCGCAGATTCCCTTTGGCCCTATCATCTTGACCGTCAGCAAATTTGTTTATCTTTCACGCCATTGTTCTTGACTGTTTGGCGCCATCTTGTGACTGAATAATACGTTGATTAGTGTGGGCGGCACTCCACTCTAAAGAAAAAACACGACGCAAGTCAAGTTTACAAATTTTATTGTATGTACCGATAAAACTACAACGTAAAAAAACAATCATTAGTTCACACTACAAGACATGGATGTAACATAAGGTGAGAGCAGTGTCTTTACCATATTTTCATTATTAATTGAGCATTTAACATTTTCTTATTTATTAATAAAAAACCTATATAAATGTTTTAAACAAGTTGTTCGTTTCAAATAATTTACCTGAACAGTTTTCTTTTCCTAGTTATAAACGGAGTGTATATTCTGTAGTGTTTACTATTTTCTTGGATTCACAAGACGTTAATGCTGCTGCTTTAAATGTTGACTGTATACTGCTAGTCCACACTAAAACTATTATTGTTCCGTCATATTTGTAAATACAGGGATTATATCTTGTGTTGTACTAACACTACATGTGTCAGAGGATTTGTTCTTATACCAGCTCAAGCATTTACCATGGTTCCAATGAGAACTTATGAACAAACTTGACCACATATACAATGAAATGACACTTTCACATTCATGTAGTGACCTAAAGCTGTAGAGGTTGTTCTTAGGGCTGTCTGACCCAGTTCCCATCTGTGATTAAACCAAACATTATACACATATGATCTTCAAAAAACAACTGTAGTAGAAAAAAACACAATAAATATATCATTTTAAACAATAAAGCCCCTTGAAAAAAAATAAACAATAAAAAAACACCCAAAACATTTCACAGTTTTACAGTCTTTACCTGCAACATTATGGGAAGACCTCAGGGTGGGTCAGACATGGTACCTCTAAAAACTAAAAAGCCCTTTTTAAATCCATGATAGTGCAACAGCTTGTGTTGTAATGTCACCTCTTCAAGTCTAGTGATCTCAGCATCTACTTACAAAGAAACATCTCGCCCATCTCCATTAACATTGAAAGTCAGAAAAAAGAATGACAACGGAAATGCTTTTCTCTGCATCTGACAGACAATGGCAGAAAGGAAGAAATTGTGGTTTGTGCGGTTTCTGATCCCCCCTTGGGTTTGAACAGGCTGAAACAGCAACCACAACTGGACCGGTTTAGGGAAGCTTCTTACATCTGAAACAAAAAACATCGAATCAGCATACAGGTGTTCCCTTCTTTGTCTGTTATTGTGAAGTTAAAGGGATAGTTTATTGCAGTATATATTTTGACTTTCAGAGTGCTGGCAGTAGTTTGATTGCATTTTATGAATAAAAAAAAAACGTTTTAATCAGCATCTATAATCTTATTTAAAGGGATAGTTCCCCCAAAATCTACTCACTCGTTTACTCCAATTGTTGGATGAACTATGCCTTAATAAGGTTCTTAACTAAGATTATAAGATGTCCTAACCATATGATGCGAGGTCTGGTGTAAAGAATTTAAAGCACTGAGTATTCGTGGCTTTTTGGCACAAAACTGAATAACAAAATTATGTGCTGTGGCTAATCTGGTCAAACATTGTATCTATAAAAAAATAGCTAGTGTTTCTTCCCATACCAATGAACTTCAGTTGAAAGTATAATGTGACTTTTTTTCAAACTTATATGGTTCCTTTTACAGCATCCATATTGTAATATAATTAAATATATATAATCAGTTATATAGACTTCAGCTTATAGACTTCATTTAGATGTTCAAGCGTAAAATAAGATGAAAGACTGTTAACACGCACATGCCCGTCAGGATCAGCAGACGATTGCTGAAACTCCAAAATACTGGGGTAAAATTAATTTCAAATTTAACATTTTTTAAATTCAGTATTGTATTAAATGCACTGCTTCTTGTGCATTCTGAGACCCACTTTATGTCGTATATCAATCAGGCAGTGAAGATCATACATTTTTAAAGAGCCTTAAAGAAACCAACCTTAAACGCAATTTTGTAATGGCATACAGTTCAGCGGTAGCATTTGACCCAGGTTACTGACAAATTAAAAGTCCTTCTGCATTCTTCTGCTTATACCCTTTTCAAAGGCAAATGAAGATAAAATCAAACTCGCATTACCTTCATTCTGAACCCCCATTACTTGACTGTCAAGGCAATATACGTGTTGTCAACACCTGTAATGTAAACATAACAATTGCCAGTAAAAGAAGAGACAAATTAATACATTTTTTCAAATATTATGTAGTTACTTACAGGTCCTGCTCTCTCGCTCCAGTTCAGTGGGTTTCCTCACTCTTTTACAGTAGACTTTGGCAGCTATCAGAATGGCACATGTCGCCACCACAAACGTCAGACCAGATACCAGCAAACTGATGACCACCGGGCTCATCACCGGGTCCACCTCTGAAATTCACATAGCACAGAGAAACAAGTTAAGCTGAGATGCAGAAACGTATTTAACATTGCAAACAAAAGATATTTTCAAAATTAACTTTTTTATTTCCACCACTGTATATACTAAAAAGCCAATGAGATAAACAAACAAACAAA